CCTTCTAAAGATCATTATTTTTCGGACGGGCTGGCTATATTACAGTAGAATGAAAAGTCCACACCCCAAAAGCGTGAGAATCCTCAGAAATGCAGACAATGGTTTTGAGAAACCAAGGAAGCATCCTCTAGGTGATCTTCAAATTCTGTTGAGTTGGGCCATATTTTTTATTTCTTAATTCCCTTAATTTGTATTTTATATTTTTATAAATATGTGACATATTTACAGAGGTATTCACACTATCTAAAATAAACATAAGATATACTCAATAAACATAAAAATAGCATATGCAATTAAAATTGTTCAGGAACAGCGTAGTCAAATGTAACGGGAGCTAAGAAGGAAGCATCAAACGGTCTTTCCAGGATCAAGGAAGTAAAAGCAGTGTTATGAAGACACAGTGCTTCAAGCCGGGGTCTCCTGGAGGCAAGAGTTCTACCATTTGGGTATACTTTCAGTCCCTGAAACTTTTGAGTTATTTTCCATTTTCCCCCTACCTATTTCAAACTGTCTCAGTTTTTCTACCAAAATTTCCGGATCCTGACCCTTCACAGCCATTCCGACCATCCAACCCTTATTAATTCATGTTCTGGAAAGGACTCTACACTGTTAGAAACTCTTCCGCTGTCACCGTGCTCAAATCTGGAAAGTCGTCCTTTGTGTGCTTGGAGAACTTCCAACTATCTCCCAAAGTGAACGTGTTTCTTTTCCATGATTTTAAATATCTGTCCCACCCTCGAAACGGTCCTTTCTCCACAAACCAACTGCAGCGCTTTAAAGAAGCCAGGCAAATACTTTCTCTAGTCGCCTAGGGCTCCACCCTCCTGTTGGCCTTCCTGACACAAACACACCCCCACACAGCCAACCCCAGGTTTTTTCCTCCAGAACTCCGTTTTCCTGAGAGCACCTCTGACTCCAGGATCAGCTCTCCCTCCTCATCTTCCCAGCCCATTAGCACCAGCAGGATCACTCGTGGGTCTCCGACTGCAGCAACAACATTGCCCTTTGCCGAGACTGAGTCCCGCTGCCCCCGCGGGACACAAAGTTTGTACGGGGCCCGAGCTCAGGGCTCGGGCTGGCTCCCTCCCCGCGTCCTCGGCTGCGTGCCCAGGCTGACTGCCACGGGCCACTCGGACACGGGGCCGTGCACACAGGACTGCCCGGCTCTCTGGCCTCCGGGGCTCCCCGGGGGAGAAACGACCCTGCCGGCCGCCCGGGTGTCTGTGCTCCCGGGCCGAGTACGGCGGCGGGCACCGGGCGGCCACCTAAGCGGCGCAGGTGACTGCGGCGGAGCCCCGAGGGGCGGGGCGGCCGGCTGAGCGCCCCTGCCCGGTGTCCCCTGGCCAGCGGTGCGCGGCGGGGCCGATGGCGGAGCTCCCCGCGAAGCCTGCCGACCACACTCACCTGTGGTCGCCACTGGCAACGCCGGCCGCCCCCTCACTCGACCTAAGCCACGCCAGCTCGGGAATCCTAAACTCAGCGCCTCCGCCGCCGCGCCCCCGAAACGCGACCACTCTCCGCGGGACGGAAGACCCGACTGAGACGAGGCCTCTCCGAACTGCGAACGGGCCGTTACCATGGCGACCAGGCACGCCTTGTTTGTAACCTACCGTGTCACAATGGTAGACACCCATCGGCGCCCTAAAACCTTCCACTTCCTCAAAGACCGGACCAAGGGATTCTAAGGAGGAGAAGCATGGCGGGTGATTATGTGTTGGGGTGTGACCCGAAAGATCCAAGAAGGCCGGGTGAGGCCAAGAGGGTGGGTATTCTGCCAAGATCAGGTGTTTGCTGTGTAGATTGGGAGTTCCCGTTTACCCTAATTTCTTACGTACTGCTGTTCCTGCTAGAGACTATGGCCCAGTTTTTTTTTTTTTTTGAGGAGATTTTGGACTAGGGGCACCAGCTGCTAATAATATTGGGATTTGTGTGAGAACCTACCCGGAGTAGAGCCTGAAACTTTAGTATGGCTTTTTAACTTTGTGATGAAAAAATGAGAACCAGAGACAGGGCTAGGTCAAAGACAAGAGCAATTTAGCAACGGTCGGACTGTAACCTGACAATGGTTTGCTGATTTCGCTCAGGACGGGAGTGTAAGAGACAGTGAAGATCTGGAAAGTGGCGCTTCAGCTGGGATAAGCGGACAGATTTAAGGGCTCAGGCTCTGGGAAGAGTCAGTGAGGAGCTCCAACAAGAGACAGAGAGCACTCATCAAGTGCTCCTTCACCTTAAAAGGCCAGGCAGCGGCGGAGGGTGCAGACACCTAATGATTTCAGACATTCTTCGTAAGAATGTTACTATGAATTTGTGGAATCTCATCATACACCAAGCACTCAGCTAGCCCACTGTATTGGCAATCTCATCCTAATGATCACACAATCTTGAGGCTCAAATAACAGCTCAGTGAGGCATCTCTTAGCTACTTATTTAAAGTTGTATATTTACTATATATATTTGCCACCTAACATAACTATCTTATTGCCTTATCACAGTTTGTTATAAGAAATCCTGGGGTTTTTTTTTTTTTGTCTCTTTTGATCTCAGTTGCATCTCCGGGTCCTAGAATAGTATACAGGAAATATTAAATGTCCCTTGAAGCAATAATATGTATGATTATCTTTAATTTAAATGCAATATAATAAACTTCAAAACCTTGGCTTATACGAGGTGTTTTGGGGAGAGACAGAGCCAGGATAAAAGGTGTATTTTATCTTTTTGTATACATACCTATATTTAGCCTTAGCTCTTTCAGTTTTAAGGTCTCTCCTTACAGAAGTTATAAAATGATCTAGTAGGCATGGCCCCACCTTCTCTTGGGTGGGTCCAGACTGGTCATTCCCAGAGAACTGCAGTGAATACAAAGGGAGTGGAATGGGGAAATGTGGAGAGGTTAAAGCTGAACTGAGCTCCTTAAAACTCCTTCAGACATCATTGAAGGATGGAAATGGTTTCAGATGCAACCCAGCTGCAGCACACTGGCTCGGAGAGTGACTGACTGGGATGGCAAACAGTAATTTAGGAATTATCCAGGTGTGTGACACCTGGCTTTTTAATCCCAACACTTGGGAGACAGGCAGGCAGATCTCTGAGTCTGAAACCAGTTTGATTTACAAACGGAATTCCAGGCCAGTCTGCTAAGTGAGTCAGTCTGTGTCTCCATTGTCTCTCCCAAAAGCAAACAATTAGGAATTGGCACCAAATGGGAGTGAAGACCAGTGGGGTTTCAGCACCATGTGTGGATTGACTGAGACATTTGACAAAGGTCATATGAACTGATAGGCCAGGAACATGTTGTCTATATAATCTGGTGTGCCATTTTATGCAAAGACATTTGAATATTCTTCTGAAACCAAAGACGTTTGTATCACTCAGGTGTCTCTCGGAGAGTGAGCATTTTGGGTCCATGAGATGGTTGCCTAGGAAAAGCTCTTGCCATGCAAATATGATGATCCAAGTTTGATCCCTGGAATCTATGTGCAGGCAAAAAGAAAGAAACAAAAGTTGTCCTCTGAACTCCACATGTGCTGTGGAAGTCATATGCACATATCATACACAATGATAATCATTATTCTAAAAAAGAATGGCCATTAACCTTATTCAAAGAATAATGAAGAAAAGTTGAGGTTAAAAAAAAAAAGTCCTATCCTGCAGCACACATGTAATATTGGAGAAGGAAGGCTGAGGAGGGAGGGGATTAAAGTGCTCCCTGCTTGCTCTAATAGCCCTGGGAAGAAGGAAAGCTCCCATGGACTAAGTCCAGAGGGAAAGGGTAGTCTCCATTCCTTTCTCTTCCATGATTTACGTCACCTTTAAATCAATAATCCACATATAATTGGAAAAGCCCACCATTCTCTTAAAAAATGAAAGGAATGAACATTCAACACAAATTTGAGATGACAGTTTTCCTGATTTGAGATGAGCTTTCTTCTCACTAAAATTTTAAGGATGTGGTTGCTTGAGAATTACAGTGAGACAAAGGAAGGAAGGAAGGAAGGAAGGAAGGAAGGAAGGAAGGAAGGAAGGAAGGAAGGAAGGAGGGAGGGAAGGAAGACACTTCTAAAAGTCAGTAGAAAGTGGGAACTGGGAATGGCTAGAATCTTTTGAGACCTCAAAGCCCATCCTCAGAGGCACAGCTCCTCCAAGTAGGTCACCCCATATAATCCTTACTAAAGAGTCCACCAACTGGGGACCAAGCACTCTATCATACGGATTGATGGGGGCTGTTATCACTCAAAACACCACAGTGGTTGAGCAGTATGTAGTCTGCTGGAAATAATTTCAGGGACTGTAGTGGTCTGAAAGAAAATGGCTCCCAGAATGGCACTATTAGGAAGTGCGGCCTTGTTGGAGGAAGTGTGTCACCGTGGAGGTGGGTTTTGAGGCTTCCTATTCTCAGGATACTGTCCGGTGACTCCTGCTGCCTGCAAGCTGTAGGACTTTAAGCTATTTCTCCAGCATCATGTCTGCCTGCATGCTGTCATGACGACAATGGACTGAACCTCGGAAACTGTAGACGAGCTATCACAGTGAAATGTTTTTATTTTTAAAAGTTGCCATGGTCATGGTGTCTCTCCACAGCAATAAGAACTCAAACTCAGACAAGGACTCTTCTCAGACAACGAATGAACATGTGAGATACAAGACAAAAATGAAGTGCTACTGATCTCGGTGAATAAGCTTCCTGCTCCATTCTGTTCCTCAGTGCTTGCTACATCCTATAGCTCCTCGTCCCTCATTACAGAATCCACAATCTTTTGTCAATAAAAGTTTGGGAAAGTTGTTTGTTTGTTTCTCTTTTCTGTTGGTGATTATTTTGCTTGTGTTTTCTGCTTATTTGTGTTTTCTTTATTTTGAAATAGTGTTTGTATAAAATATGAGCAGAAAGGGAAGGGCTCTTTTATGCTCTACGATCAGTACCGGAAATTCTAAAAGTTCTGAATTCAGGAAGGTTTGGAGCAGAGCATAGCAAGAGCGACTCCAAACAGTTCTAATCTTTGGCGTCTCTGAATGAGCCAAGATGCCGGGGTTGATGGTGGTATCGTTGCCACTGCTTATTAGGCATGTACCACATCCAAGACAAACACGAACTCATTTAACTCTGCTCATTGTTGTCTACAATAAGCATGATGTTATTTTATACATAGTTTGCATAGCTGGGGTTTAAAGGTTCAAATCATGCCCAGATTTGAACAGATTGTTTTCTTTGTAAAGTATTGTCTTTCTAGATCCCAAAATTCTGATTGTACAGTCAGTGTGACTCTGGAACCCGACACAGCCCATCCTGACCCAGCACTGTCTAAAGGTCAAAGACGAGTGACTTACAGACAATGCCACAAGAATCTTGAGGCTTCTACCAAGAGATTTTCTGTTTTGCCCTGTGTTCTGGGCTATAAGGAATTTACTTCAGGGAGATATTACTTCGAAGTGTCTGTTGAGAATGCAACCTCTTGGGATGTGGGAATCTGTGTAGAGGATGTGTTAAGGGGCTTTGACATGAAGAAGGAGCCTGAGTTTGGATTCTGGACCACCAGGATGTGTGAAGAGGATGGGCTTGCAGCCCTCACTTTCCACCCCTACTCCCCTTCACCTGCGTGAGAAGCCACAGCTCGTGGGAGTTTTTCTAGACTATGAGGCTGGAGTTGTATCCTTTTACAATGCAATCAGTGGTTCCCATATCTTCACCTTCTCCAAGGCTTCCTTCTGGGATACTCTGAAGCCCCTTTTCCAAGTTTATGAAAATACTTCTTTGTTTCTGCCTGCCAGAATTAATCAAGGGAAGGGGTAAAGTCCCCATGGTGTAAGTAGCCCAGAAAATGCATAAATCCCATAAGGCAAAAACTTGGATTTTTTTCATTGCCGTTCCAATGCTTTTAATGAACTTTCAATAAATGTGCTCCGATTTGGTTGATGGAAAGGGTAAAAATACCATACATGGCCAATTTCAGTGAGATGAAGGCAAAATAATAGTGATAATTATATCTTTTCATCTCCCTCCCTTTTGTACATCGGTTCTCAACCTTCCCAATGCTGCAGCCCTTTAATACATTCCCCATGTTGTAGTGACACCCAATTATAAAATTTTTGTTGCAACTTCATATCTGTGATTTTGCTACCGCTATTAATCATAATGTATCTTCATATGAATGGAGACAGTGGCTTGCAAGAGGGGTAGTGATACACATTTTGAGAACGACTGCCTTTTATGGGTCAGAAGTTTACAACACTTCTTACACTGTTGTTTTCAATGTGCATCGAATTCTTGTGTGAGAAATGAATTAATAGCAGTGTCTTTTTATGAACAAAAGAACAAAAACTGAAAATAACATCAACTTAACCTTTGTTCTTGCTGTTGCTATCAATTTGGTTTTTTTTTTTTTTTTCCCTGACAGGACACAAGAGTCAAAGCTGTGTGAAAGACCATTTGGTATACCCTAGCTAGACCACCACATTAGAAAGAAGTGGACTACAGCATATTAAAATAACTCTTTCAAAATGTGTTGAAATGTGAGTGATTCTAAACCTACTGCGCGTGTGTGCGCACACACACACACACATTCATACACCATGGTGGTTGGTAACCATGTTTCATTCCTCCTGTGGAAAAGAGGCATGGGGACTGAAAAAAATATTTTATAACATTTTATTCTACAATAAGCAATATACTCTGCACAAGAATATATTTTTCTGTTTCCTAGAAAATTCCATAACCATATTTCTCTCTTTTTTTTCCATCCTTCCTTCACAGTACTCCTTGTGTAGCTTCACCATGCTGTTAGTTACTATATTGACCAGTAGATGGCAGCTTTGCATTTTTGGTGACTCTGGTCATGCAACTTTGCCTTTAATAAAATATACTTCTTGGACCAAGATCAAATAAATGTAAAATTCATCTTGTTCTTAGTAATTATTTTAGATAATTTAAGCCAACAATATTTTTTGTGTTTTCCATTGTTGTTGCTTTTCATTTTTGTTCAAGACAGGGTCTCGTGGTGTAGCCTGGAACTAGCTTTATAGACCAGGCCGACTGTGAACTCACAGAACTCCAGTGGCCTGACTCTGCCTCCTGGGTGCTAGGAGTAAAGGCATGTATGATACACTTGGCAATAATATTAATTTATATTCAAATAAAATTTTTTTTTCTTTTACATAAGGTCTGACTGTATCCCAGGCTGTCCTGGAGTTCACTATATTGTAGCCCAGGCTGGCTCCAAACTGATGGAAGTCCTCCTGCCTCAGCCTCCTGAGTACTGAGTGCTGAGATTGCAAGTATGAGCTACCACGCACAGCTATGATTTTATTGACTGGTTAATAGACTTTAGTTTTTAGAGACAAGCTCTCATGTAGTTCACGCTGATGACAAACTCACTGTGTAGCAGATGATGACCTTGAACTTTTGATTCTTTTTCGTCTGGCTCTTGAATGCTAGAAAGAAAGGAGGCACCACCACATCCAATTTATGAGGATCTGGTGCTCAAGTTGGGGGCTTCACACACACTAGGCAGGCATTCCACCAACTAAGTTATAATATATTCCTAGGCCCCTTGGTGGTTTTAAGTGTTACCTGAAAAAGAGCCTTGGATCTTATTAACTATTCAGTTCTACAAATTTCTTTTAATTCAGCAAATAATCAACCTCATTAGATTCATGTTTCATCATCCCATGTGATTCCTTGGCAAATCAGCTCTCAGCGTTTTGTGGTGTGATTCAGATTCCTTCTGTGTGGATTGTTCAGTGACCTTTAGGGCTCTTAGTGACATTCTACCACAGTTCATTTATCAATGACTGCAGTGAACTATTTAGGGTAGGAGTGGGGTTCCAGATAGCTCATCATTCCCTAATGGGCACAGAAGTACATATGGGTTCAGTGTGTGTGAGTGATTGGCTGTACTTTCCTACCTTCCTTCCTTCCTTCCTTCTTTCCTTCCTTCCTTCCTTCCTTCCCTCCCTCCCTCCCTCCCTCCCTCCCTCCCTCCCTTCCTCCCTCCCTCCCTTTGTTTCACTGTAATTCCCAAGCAACCACAACCTTAAAATTTTAGTGAGAAGAAAGTTCATCTCAAATCAGGGAAACTGTCATCTCAAATTTGTCTTGAATGTTCATTCCTTTTTGCTTTTTAAGAGAATGGTAGGCTTTTCCAATTATATATGGATTATTGGTTTTAAAAGTGACATAAATCATGGAAGAGGAAGGAGTGGACATTTCTCTTTTCCTCTAGGTTTAGTCTATGGGAACTTTCCTCCCTCCCATGGCTGCTTAGAGCAGCAGGGAGCAGAGGGAATGCTCACCTGGGGGAACTATTTCCCTGCCTGTGTGCATTCCTCTGAGATGGCAGGAGGGGCTGGAGAAGAGGTCCAGTTGCTCCTCATCACACGGAACCAATCCTGAGTGTGAATAGGAGTCAAGCCACAAACCAAGCAAGGGCTCCTGCTCCTGAAAGGGTACAGGTGGAGGGGTTTGTTTGTTTGCTGTTTTGTTGTTGTTGTTGTAGGTGGTGGTGGTGGTGGTGGTGGTGGTGTGTGTGTGGTTTCTCTGGGCCCCCTGGCAGAGTCAAAAGGATTCAGGTTCCCAATGGGAGGGAGCAGGTCTTAAGTGAGGTGGAGAAAGTGGGTTGGTGTTTATTTTTCTTCTCTGGTAGCATGCAGAGTACCTTTTAGTACTCTGAACACTAGTCAGTAAGGGGTGAAGGCTCTAGGTAGGCACCAGCTCGATTTCTCTGGTTCAACAAGACACACATGTCTGGTCTTCCACAATAGGGCCTTGCCATAAGCCTTGACAATAGCCTGAGATGTTTGCATGAGTCTATGAAATCCTTTTAAGTGTCAAAAAAACTCAATTAAATGTAACCTATTCCTGGTAATGGAAGTTTCTCTCTTTCTCTCTCTCTTTTTTTTTTTTTTTTTTTT